ACACACACACACACACACACACACACACACACACACACACACACACACTTATGGTTGGCTGCATGTGTGCTCTTTTGAGTTTGTGCCTGGTGGAACATATTGCCTCTCCATCAGTGTGTGTCTAGGTGTGTGTGTCTGTGTGTGTGTGCGTGTGTGTAAGGATATGAGAGGTCACCGAGCCAGTCAGCAGTTTTAGTGTGCCTCTCCATGGTGCTAAATTCAATCTTTTACACATTATTATGGCCAGGCTGGGTCTCTGTTAACCTCTCATTATTAGACTGGTGAGCTGAGTGGCTCTCCCACACACACACAAACACTCACACTCACAGAAACCTGATCCTGGACGTGCGAGCGGTTCCAGTAAGGCAGTAGCTGATAAACGGGAAGGAAAGATGATCCTCTCGTAACATCATCATTATCAGGTCTGCAGGCCTCTGCTACTAAATCACTCAAAAGCCCTGACTGCTGGGATCGATGCACTTTGAATTCTTCGTCTGTTTACGTCTTTTCGTATTTAGAAACAAAGCTACTCACATCGCCTAATTAATCTCTCCCAGGTTGCGTCGGTAAATAAGAAAGCATTGTTTGTCGGATTATCTGCTGCTCAATACAAATGAATTGTGCTTCCAGCTGCATTGTGTTGATATGCATGAGAATGAAAGTGTTGTTGTTGATCATCATTTATGTTTCAAAGCTGATTGAAAATCTAAAATAATCTGGCTTTGGCGTCCTGAGGCCTTAAACTTTTGTCAATAAGATTACCTGCAGCAGCAAGAACAAAAAAAAACATCTAATTATAGCAACATATTTAAAATGAAATTGGGGACTAAGTGTACCTTTTGGGTATCTGTTCAAGCTGTTGAACTGAGTTATAATACTGCAAAAATGTTTTGTTTGTGTCCTTGATGTTCTGATTTGCATGTCAACAGATATCTATGTGCCTCGGTTAAGGGTTTCACACATCAGGTACTGATGATAGAAAGTGATGTTTCAACAGCATGTTAAAGACTTTATTTCAATGTCTTGAGGTCCCAAATCAACATTCAAATACAGTAATTGAGAAGCTGCTGAAACAACATTCATACAGTGATCTAGATGTCTAAACTACTTTGACAACAGTGACAAAAACCAACTCTCAAATGTGTCGTTTTTAATCACAGATTGCTGCATTTTTCTTTCATTCCTGTAATTGCTACAATAAAGCCCGATTTTAAAGCTTTAATCAAAAATCATTTGTCTTAATTCAGGTGATTGTCCTACATTGTCTTTATCTGTTGTCAAATATTTATGGAGTATGCGCCTGACATGTACCCATCCTTGTCGTGTCTTGTCAGTTTAACAAAATAACTATTAAGACACGAGCCTTTGAGTTTATTTAAATCATCATCAAGACTTGTTTAGTATAATCTATTCTTGTCTGTGTCAGGTAAATATTTAGACGGACAGTTTGAATGACAGTCAGAGAAACAGTGGTTGAGTGAAAGAAAACACAGATCTGTTGGCAGAGAGAAAGAATAACTGGAGGTGTCTAGGTGCTTTTACTGTCTGAGTTATGACGAGCCCTAATGTGATAACCATACATTACACACACACACACGCACACACACACACACACACGCACACAAACATTGTATGCATTAGGACCAGGAAATGCTGAGCTGAGTATCTGTGGAGTCAGATGTGTGTGTGTGACGTGCGTGTGCCGGGGCAGCACAGACATGACACACACATGACTTATTCCTCCCTAATGCTGGTACATTAGTCGCCTGATCCGCTTCTAATGTCCCATTAGGGATGCCGTACACGCAGGGTCACACCTCGCACCGAGATGATGTCATACTGCACATGTAGGCTCAGAGGGATGTGGGGCACAATCACACACACACACACACACACACATATATAGAAATATTGACACACACATTTTCTGCTAATATGATGGGAGATAGTGTTAGAATGTGTGGTTTCAGATTTCATCTCGCCTCACTGGTGAACATTTACAGTACATATACAGTATATATATATATATATATATATATATATATATATATATATATATA